GGTCGCCGCTCCACTTCTCCCGCCTCCCAGGCTTGCAGCGCCAATCAGCTGTTTGGCGCTGCAAGCCTGGGAGGAGAATTAGAGCAGGGGCAGCGTGCTCAGGAAGGAGGCGGAGCAGAGGTGAGCTGGGGTGGGGAGGTGCCGCACGGCTCCCCGGGCCGGAGGTGGGTGGGGATCTGCCGCGGGGGTGCCTCAAGGGGGGAGGAGCTGCCACAGGGCTCCCCACCCCAGCTCACCTCTGCTACGCCCCCTCCCCGAGCATGCCGTCGCTGCTCCACTTCTCCTGCCTTCCCAGGCTTGCGGCGCCAATCAGCTGTTTGGCGCCACAAGCCTGGGAGGGGAGGAGAATTAGAGCGGGGGCTGCGTGCTCGGGGAGGAGGCGGAGCAGAGTTGAGCTGGGGTGGGGAGCTGCCGCACGGCTCCCCAGGGGGGAGCTGCCGCGGGGGGGGGGGGGCCTCAGGGGGGGGGGGGCGGGGGGCTGCCACAGGGCGGGGGGGAGGGGGCGCAAGGTGGAAGTTTCACCTAGGGCGTGAAACTTCCTTGCACCGGCCCTGTGAGAAGCTGAACACCTGGACAAAATGCAGTTTCCTGGAGCAAGGTGCTACTGCAGACTCTTGCTTTGAATCTCATATTAACTGTTGAATGGGCTTATCTTACTCTCAAAAGGTTTACTAAGGATGGATTCTCTGACATTTGTTAGTAGAAAGAATAATAAGAAAATGGGTTACTATTAGGGCTCTAGATAGAATAGGGTGAAGGAAAATAATATCATTTTATGTGTGAGGAGGAAGAGAGGAAGATCAAGATCTGGTGAAGAAAATATCTACGATGAAGGTTTGTAGAACTGATTTTGAGAGAGTTGTTCCATCCAAGGTGAATAGTGGCACTATTGCAGTTAATTTGAATGAATTCCTCTACTGTAGTTTCATCTAAGCTAATACTAAATGCAGCAGCCAAAAATAAGAAGCAAAAATTGGCACAAACAAGAAGGATTTGAAACATGCACACTAATAAGCCCACTGATATTTACAAGAATTCATACTGGAATATCACAACTATTCTTTGGAGATTTTATGTTTCGTATAGAGTCATTTGCTGCATTTCTCTAGCGACTTACATGAATGCAAATGAATGTAGTCTGGTACGTAATATAAAGCGTGTGTGTGTGTGTATGTATCCCACATGCTGTACTATCTTACAAAAGGGACCAATCAATTGAGCCAGTCCCCTTTTGAGCATTGTTTCTTAGTGATTAATACAAACTTGTCCAGGAATCAGTGAGATTCTCAAATCAGACATAAGCATAGAAGAAAAATGTTGGCAAGGACAGAACAAGTTGATTGGCATTCCCCCTAGTTGTTTTATTTCTTATTTGCAGCTGAAAATATGGAAAACCTCACCTCCACTCTCATTCTTAGAAACAATTTCCAACCGTGCAAAATAAATGTGAGGCAGTCACTTGAGAACCAATGGCAATGGCTTTTAGAAATTATTGGGGTTTTTATCCTTAATGCTGAATTCCCCTGTATAGCTCTGGGTCAAAAATATTCAGACTTTGAAATATCTTGATGAAGAAAGGAGACAAACGTTTCATATAAATGTCACAAAAAATTTCCCCATTTTTTACTGGCTTTCATAGTGTGTCTGTATACATTTTTACAATGTATTCACAGACACACAGAGTGCACTGTGGAATTCATATTGAGAGAGAGCTGGAAACATCTGAAGTTATTTACCCTTGCTTAATTATCTTTATAGCCCATGTTGTGGTCTACCAAGTTTGTGTGCCTTGTCCATCCCTTACTAAGGAGCACAAGGAATGGAATATGTTCAGACTTCAGCAGAGAAAGAAGGAGCAACTCTCACCATTCTTGAGACACCTACTCTAGCCCACCAGGGAGTAGAATTTTGCATGTGCAGCTTTGGGCAAAGCCATGAGTGCACTGACATGGGGTCTTTGATTGCTGATGAAAATTACAGAGCAGCTCTCCCTAACAATTCTCTGTTTGGCATTCTCTCTCTCTCTCTCTCTCTCGTTTAGGGTCTTGTTCTTGCCTTACCTTGTGTCCTGTTTATTATTGACCTCTTTGGTGCCAGGCAATGAGGGCAATGCATTTAAAACCTGTGTATGTGTATTTTTTAAAATAGACGTTGCTCCCATAATGGTTGTCAACAACTAGTCTTGCTTAATCACCTGGAAAATGTCACAAACAAGGGCTCTTAAGAGAAATTGAAAAAGCCAAGTTAATTACCATTATAGGTTGAATATATCAGGGACTGAAGGTTTTAAAAGCCAGGGAAAATTGGGGACATATGTGTGGTGTCTCTGAGTAAGATTGTTCCATATAGGATATGGAAAATGTAAATGACAGGCATTTTGCCATGTACAGTAGCATTCACTGTAGACAGACCATATGTTTTTGTTAGAAGCAGTGAAGCCAAAAATGACATTTAATTGGAACTGGCATAATACACCCTCACTAGTCATATATATGTATGTCTTGGTTGTCAATGGGAACAACATATATTTCACATGACAGATATATTAGTCTCTTTTAAGATTAATATTAAGCATTAGCCAAATTCATTCATTTAAAGAACATTGATGACTTTTAAAAAAAATAAATGTTGAGGTGGAAATCATGTGTATTTGCAGGGTGCTGTGATAACGCCAACAATGGACCACACTATGTCAATGCAGCCAGCAAGCATGATGGGCCCTCTGACCCAACAGATGAATCACCTTTCCTTGGGCACAACAGGAACGGTAAGTTCAGATAATATGCTACATCGTTTTACTAATTTCAGAGTTCTCAAGGTCATTTCCGCTCACTTGAGTTTCCAATACTTCATTCTTTTTATTTTAATATTTCCATGGCTCCTTTTTTTCTTAGCTTATTAATTTTTAACGGTTACATAGAAGATCTAGTATACTCTTTATATGAATTTTTCCTAATATTTCACTCATAGCACAACAAACTTTTTTAACTAAAGGAAAATGTAACCATCTATAACATGACACGGTAGTTCATTCTGTGAGTCTTGCAGTCATTTCTTTGGCGTATGGCATATTTGTTTCTTCCTTATACTGTTACTTTACATACTTTATTGTGTCATCTTTCCTTCCAGATCTGGTTCAAGTTAATTCCAACCTCAGTGTTTTTTCCCCCATTTTTGTTGATATATCAGACTTTATTCATCTCTCAGGATGCCTGAATATGCTGGTTCATCATTCTTTGCCATCTATTTTATATGTTTCCGCCAATAAACAAACAAATAGAAATATGATCTCAGTGCTTTTCTCACTATTCTTCTTATTTTCCTTGGACACATGAACCTAAGGGAGGCTACTGTGGCTAGTAAGAATATCTGTATGTGAAACTGAAGCCTTGATTGGCCAGTTAGATAGCTCCCTGGCAAGGAATGCCCAGATGCATTTTAGTTGTCTTTAGAGTTTGTTGATGACAGATCCATTTTACTAAGTGAATTAAACATGTATTTAAAAAGTGCAATACGGGTATGTTGAATCAGCTCTTGGGACTTTTGCCCTTTGTCTCTCATTGACATCGAAGATTATGGTGCAGATGTAAACCCTTTGGATGACTTAGAAAATTTTCCTCTAACAGTCTTCATATAAAACCAGGAAATTCCCAACTAATGATCTACGCTAACATCAAACCGCTGCTAGTGTCCTTTTGGTTGCTATTTTGTAATTGGTTCAGGTGGCATGACCAGATGTATTATGTTTGCTATTATTACATTGTATGAGTCATTTTATATCCTTTTAAGATAGTCTTTATGTAATGATACCTTTGCCTGTAGAATGTGCGATATTAATTGACAGCAATATTCTAGCATTCTGAAGAGAAGGAAGAGTGCTCACATTCTGAAGCTTGAGAAGGTTCTTTAGTTTATTTAGACCAGTGTTCATGAATCCCAGGGCATGAACCATGGCGACTCCAGCTCTGTTAGAAAAAAGAACGCTACTCTGATTATCGGAACTGAATCACATTTTATGATCAATCTAAAAAGTGAATTAAAAATTTCTGTTGTGCTCATATTTTCAAATTTGTCCTTTAAAAGTTTGCAACAGGGTGCTATAGTCACTGGATATCTTTCAACCAGCTTGTTTTCAACAAACAAGCCAAAAAGTCATAAGCAATTCTGCTTTGTGACAGCAGCAATCTGTCCCAATTTAATCTAAGAGCTTTCAGTATGCAAAGATTTTTTATTAAAAGTCTTTTATACATTTACTTCCGTAGACAAACCATTTAACCAGCATAAAATACGTTTCAGGCAAAACAGCCATCCAGGGTGTGCCCGAGTGAAGAATTGGCTCTAAACCTGGCTACAAACATGAACCAAGCCATTGGTTCACTAAGGACTGTGTGTTTTCAAAATGCAGGGTTGCAACCCTTTCTGCAACCAAATCCACACTATGGGGAAAATTCACCCATGGTGCAGAGGGCCAGCATAAGGCTCTCTGGATTGATTGAGCTGCAATTAAGGGCTGGCCTGATGCTTGCTGGGAAAACAACAACCCTGAAGTGACTAGCATCCCCTATGTACTATGGAAAATATCTTGTCACTGAGTCCAAGTAGTGTAAAGGGCTGCATGTAAACTGATGAGTACAAGAAGCCATAAGCAGTGAACAACAAGAAGTTTTATTGGTCTTAAAAACCCAGGAAAGATACCCCATATTCTTGAGCACCATCCACTAGCACCTTATGTATTAATGATCAACTATTTATTTAGATATCTCTCTTATACAGAATACTATAACAAGAGGTATTACATGTGAGGCCATAGTGGTGGTGGGCCAGGAGAATGACTGTAAATCTCTTTACTCAGATCCACTGGTCCCAGTTCCCCTCCCATGGAAAGCACAGAGCTACAGCAAATACTCCAGCCCATAGGCAGGTATAGTTTGGGAGGAAGAGACTACTGAGGGGGGCTCCACAGCAGCTTTACATCATGACCCTGAGTTGTGGGTGTAGATTTCACCCCTCTCACCTCCCCCCCCCCATGCTCTGTGCTTTATCCACATTGAACCTCAATACTCATTGAAAATATAGTTGACAATAGTGACAAATTTGATGGTAGTTGTGCTGCCTGGATCACCTGCACATATCTGCCTGGAATCTGGAACTGAGCAGAGAATATCCCAGAGGGCACAATTCAGCCTTATTTATATATATTTTTGTACATACATCTTCACTCAAAAATAGCAGGAAACATTTGCATAGGTGTGCTGACTGTGCAAGTAAAAGTAAAAGAAATCTAAGCCTAAATAATGTCACAATTGTGACAAAATGAGAAAACCCTAAAAATTCTGATTAAGGCTGACAATCCCTCCTCAGCTCCTGCCGGTATATTAAAAAGGAAGGCCCAAAGGCTTAACCTAAGGATAGAGAGCCGGGTTTAACCCTGAATGTTCCTCTCCTTTCCTAGTTTAGTATAACCTTAGCATATATTCTAGCAAGCCTCATTTTCCTTATATAATATTTATCCACAATTAGCTCTTCCCTTCAAATGATACATTACTGAGATAGCATAGGGAGTAGGTCTGCTCTGTATGGAAACACTGAAAGAATAGCATAAGTGTGTATTTAATAATATATGGATGCTGGAATTGTTCCATCATCAGCCTGTCACTCAAAATGTGTCTAACACAGCCATTGATCTGACGTCTGTTTTGCAGTTTAATAAAAGTCATGATTGATAGCTTGAGTGGAAACAATATAAAAACCCTTTAGAAAAATAAAACTGCACAGCCTGATCACAGCTTTCAGTCCTTACAGCTGGGCTCCTTTTACATTGGCAATGACACTTTCAGCCATCAGCAGCACCCATCTACCATTTGAAAGGAAACGAATATTTGCCATATATGTCCCCTCCATAGCTCATTCCTGAAGGAGGTTTTAGGTCATTACCTTGTTGCTTTTATTTCCAACGTGTATTTAAGGTGACGCTTTGGTTCCATTTACATCCCACATCCTGAGGCGGCAGCATCTCTCACCCCTCATATGCAGATGTGCTTTTCAGACCATTTTGTTTTCGGTTTTGAAATTGCTTCAGTATAGCCCTATTTCGTTTTTAACTTTTGGGGGCCATGCCAATGGGAGAGTGAATGGAAGCCAGCTTTTGACTGAAACTGCTAGCTCAGCTGTGCCTTTTATTGGTTCTTCACACACTCAGCCGGGCCGTTTTAGCTTTTGCTTGCTTATTTAAAAGAAAATAAGCGAAACTTGCAGCACCAGCTCTTGATTCTTCTTTATAAACTGTACATTTGTTTAATTGTTCTGGATACTTATGTATAAAATAATCAGTTGTGTATAAAAATGATGTTAGTTTATCTCAGGGCTCCGTTGATATTGCTAACCATCCTAACTCTGCTTTCATGGTTTACAATGTGACCAGAAATCCCTCAATGGAATAACAGGCGTGTTATTCTGGTACATCATTTCTTATCTCTTACTTTGTTAGCTATTTCTGTTGCCACTAGAGCTTGATGATATCTCTAGAACCTCTCAATGGAACAACAAGCTTGTTACAAGTTTCTTATCAGTTATTTCCTTTGGATACTATATGGTCACTGATGATTTACAATGTCACCAAAGGCTCTCAATAGAATAACTGGTTTGTTAGGTTTGTTTGGTTTTTTTAATCAACAATTTTCTTTGCACATACTTTGGCCATGAATAGTCTATGATGTCACCAAATTCCAGTAATGTTCAGAGCTTTGTTACAAAATGATCTTGTCTGTTGTTTTAATAGTACACCATATAGGAGCAACATTTCTTTACAATCTTTTGATCTCGATGTTAATCAGGTTTTAATCTTGAAGCTCTTTTATTTTGTTTGACTGTCTGTTTCAGTTTGCTTGGAGAGTACAAGACTGGACCGATAGCAAATGAAGCTAAAGTATGGTTCAAGCTGGTACTAAGTAGATCACCCTTGTCCATTTTCTCATCTTAGGTCCTGGACAAATGAAAATGATTAGCAGCATAGTGCAATTTTGGGAAACAGGTTCTTTCAGAGAGAAATTAATCTGTTTGGAAAGGAAAAGACTAGTCCAGGGGTTCTCAACCTGGGGGTTGGGACCCATCAAGGGGTTGCGAGCTTATTACATGGGGGGTCGTGAGCTGTCAGCCTCCACCCCAAACCCCGCTTTGCCTCCAGCATTTATAATGGTGTTAAATATATTTTTTAAAGTGTTTTTAATGTATAAGGTGAAATCAGAGGCTTGCTGTGTGAAAGGGGTCACCAATACAAAAGTTTGAGAACCACTGGAGTAGACTAATCTCTGTAAGGGTAATGTAAAATAACAAATAGTGCAGTGAAAGCCACTTGGCTGCTCCTATTAGTCTGTTCTATAGTTTGAAATAAACAAGGGGATAGTTAATGAAATTGAAAGTCACCAAATTTAAAATCAAAATAACTTTTTCATGCAGCAGCTAATCAATCTGTAGAATTTGCTGCTTCCAGATACTCATAAGACAAAATAGGTGAGCAAAGTGTTTAAAAATAGAATTGACATTGATATGAATAACATTCGCAGTCACAACAGCTCAGTAAAAAAACCTAAAAGGATATAGTGTCTTGTGGTTCAGAATATGATCACCAGCTGGGGATAGCAAGGAAAGACATTTTTAAATTAGAGCTGAGTAAATAATTCATTGCATGGTTTTCATCTCCCTTTTCTCTTCAAAAATGTTGAGCACCTTAAGCTTCCATTGACTGCAAGCTGCTTCTATTCTAATGCC